CTAGAACATTTTTTCGCGTAATTTTGAAAAAAAAAGCAGTTAGCTAGCATTATTATTAACTGAGCTATGAATTTTTGAAAAATAAAGCAGTCTAATTTTTAATTGTTTATATCTCGATTAATTTTGCAATAAGAAAAAAATCCTTTGGCACAAAATTCTATCTCCCAAAGTACTACCTTTGTGCAAAATTAGAAAAATTTCTGAGAGATGACTGATCCGCTTCACGTGGAATGGCCTCGATGCGTTTAGCCGATCTACCTAAAGCTTTCGGGCTGCAGGACACGGCGGATAAAAGTACCTTCCCGCACCTTTTTAACATCTTAGAAAATCGCACTTACGTCGGCCCGTTACCTGATGTATGCTTTTACTCACCCGAGCAAATGAAACCCGAGAAGCGCGAACGATTTATGACCTGGCATGCAGAAATGTCTCGGCAAAACGTTATTTTTGATTTCCAGCGTGAACTAGTTAAATACTGCCGCAACGACGTAGATATCCTTCGGCGTGCCTGCATGGCCTTCCGTAAAATCTTCTTGGAGCGCGGGAATGTATGTCCGTTCGAGGAATGTACAACTATCGCTTCCACTTGCATGAAGGTTTTTCGCAAAAACTTTCTGCGGGAGGAAGAGATAGGAATTATCCCAAAAGGCGGCTACAGATTCACGGATAACCATTCGCGTAAAGCCCTGCAGTGGCTGGTATGGAAGGAGCGGGAAATCGATCGTGTCATAATTCATGCGGGACGAGGGCGAGAACATCAAATAGCCGGCAGACGCGTCGATGGATATTGCGAGTCGGTGACGGCGGAAAACGATACACGACGTTACGTATTTCAATTTCACGGGTGTTTCTGGCACGGTTGTAAGACGTGTTACCCTGTAAATCGTAATAAACCGCTCTTGTCCGCGAATCGCGAGGACACGCTGGAAAAGCGCTACGAACAAACGATCGCAACAACACGTCGTCTCGAAGCACAGGGGTACCGCGTGATAGAGAAGTGGGAGTGCGTTTTCGACCGGGATTTGCGTGAAAACGATGAGATGCGGGAATTTGTCGCTAATCACCCGGTAATAAAATCCGCGCCTCTCAATCCGCGCGATGCGTTCTTCGGTGGTCGTACGGGAAATATCGCGACGTATTGCGAAGTCACGGGTGCGGAGAAAATACGTTATGTCGACGTGTGTTCTCTGTACCCGTACGTACTGAAAACGGGTGGCTTTCCGATCGGTCACCCCTCTATTTATATCGGTCAGGAATGTTCCTCGTTAATCGGAGCAGCGCCTGGCTACAATTTCGATTCGGTCGAAGGTCTCGTCCGATGCAAAGTACTCCCCCCGCGCGATCTCTTTCATCCTGTATTACCCTACCGCGTACGGGGGAAATTACTGTTCGCCTTATGCAGGAGTTGCTGTGAAACATTCTCACAGGCCGAGTGTACGCACGATCAGCCCGTCGATCGTGAATTTGAGGGTACCTGGGTATCCTGCGAAGTACGCAAAGCTATCGAGAAAGGTTATCTCGTGACGAGCGTGAGTGAAATCTGGCAATACAGAGTCACACGCTATAATTCGGTTACACATCAGGGGGGTTTATTCACGGCGTATATAAACTCATTTTTGCAACTGAAACAGGAGGCAAGTGGATGGCCGGGCGAATGCGTGGATGACGAGGCGAAGGAACGTTACCTCCGGGAATACGAGGAAACCGAAGGTATCGTTCTCAATAGAGATAATATAGCACGAAATCCAGGTTTACGTTCGGTCGCGAAGCTCTGTCTGAATTCTTTCTGGGGAAAATTTGGTCAGCGGAGTAATCTGCCTCAGACCGAAATCATAAAAGACTATCAACAGTTTGTTGCTTTGCTTATGAATCCCGAGCACGAGATAACCGACATTTTACCTGTCAACGACGAGAGAATGTATGTTTCATGGCGACTGCGAGAAGAGGCAGTTACATCTTCACCGATGACAAATGTCGTGATCGCGGCATACACGACAGCGCAGGCGCGATTAAAATTATACGAATATTTAGAATTATTAGATAGGCGAGTTTTGTACTACGATACCGATTCGTGTATTTATTTAAGCACCGGCGAACCGGGCGAGTACGAACCATCTACGGGAAATTTTCTGGGGGATATGACAGACGAGCTTGAGAGCTATGGCCGCGGTAGTTACATTGAATCGTTCGTGTCGGGTGGCCCGAAATTTTACGCGTATGTCGTACGTACAACGTCGGATCGCACGCATGAAATTTGTAAAATTAAAGGTATTACGTTAAACTATAATAATTCCTTGTGCATGAATTTCGCTAGTATTAAGAAATTAATAGCAGAAAGAGAAAAGCGGGGTGAGCGAGGAGAAGGAGAAGGAGAGAAAGAAGAAGAAGAAAAAACGACTAGAGCGGCGATAAATTTGCGTTTTAGAGCGATTCGACGCACCGCATTTCACGATATCGTAACGCGGGATGAAACAAAGACGTGTGCGCCGGTATTGGTAAAACGTAGATTTATCAATAATCGTTACTCTCTCCCGTACGGATTCGTAGGCGAATAACAGCTTTCTCCTCGCTCAGCCCGATCATGCTTTCTCTCTCACGCGCGTACATACACCCAGCTACTTTAAGTTGGATTTTAAGTTATATTGCGTTTTCCGTCCGTCAGCTTAAGATGTAATGTAATTTAAGAAGAAGAAACAACAACCTAGTAGATTAAGAAAAAATGTAAAAATGTAAAAAATAACATTTGTAAAAAATAGTAAGTAAGTAACATTGTAAAATATTTATTTGTAAATATGCTTGAATATAAAAACAACTTTAAATATCTTATTTTTTCTTTTTTTCACCACTATTTAGATTAATTGTTGAATAAAAAAATAAAATAAAATAAAATATAATATTTCCAACTTGTAACATGTGAAAAAGTTTACTTTGCAATTTCCTTCAACTTCTTCAAACGATTCCTAACACGTTATTTTCCCTCCCCGGCCGTCATCCTCCTCATCGTTGTCGTCGTCGTTGTCGTCGTAGTCTTTCACGCAAGAGGGAGTGAACAAGCTCGTCGGTGTGCGCTCGCGTAGCGTCAGAATTATACGCTGATCGCGAGCACATCGACGCATGAATAAGCTCATCCACTCGTGTCGATCTCACCGCGGCGTGAATCAGCTTTTCGCTCGCCGCGGTGCTCCTCGGCTAGCGTACGCGCGCGGGTGTGCGCTGACGCGAGCGTGCGGCCGCCGCGTGGCCCCTCCGCCGCGGAGATGAGCTTATCTGCCACCCCTCCTCCTTCGTAACTACCTAACTCGAGCCCACCCCTCCCATTATTGTTATTACTTCCATTAAGCAGCATTTTCGCGTCTTTTGCTTTTTGAAGTCGCGCGAGGAAGTCGAGTCAATCATTTTGCGAAATGGACGTGCGCTGGAAACATCCCTGGACGTCTATCGTATGCGGTCCCACCGGATGCGGGAAGACGATCTTCGTAAAGTCTTTTCTCCGACATATATCGAGCATGTCCGACGTGCGATTCGTAAGAGTTTTGTTCTACTACGCCGAGTGGCAAGACGCTTATCGTCAATTGCAATACGACGTGGCGGGAAAAGAGACGTGGGCGGGAAAGAAAGGAATAATAAGGAGAGGACGTGAGGAGGAGGAGGGGGAGAAGGGCGGCGATGAGAGAAAGAATATAATCGAATTTCGCGAAGGACTACCTCGCTCGGAAGATTATTCGAACGATCCGCTTTCCCCGAAATTAGTGATAATCGACGATCTTATGAGAGAATCGTCGTCGAGCGACGCGATCGTGGATCTTTTTACCAAAGGCAGTCATCATAAGAATCTCAGCGTCATTCTTATCTCACAAAATCTCTTCCATCAGGGTCGTGGGCAACGCGATATATCTCTCAATGCAAATTACATCGTGGTTTTCAAAAACCCTCGCGATCGCGCACAAATACGGCATCTGGCACGTCAAGTCTATCCCGACGATCCGAAGTTTCTAGAAGAGGCCTACTACGATGCTACGACAAAACCGCATGGATATTTGCTTCTCGATCTAAAACAATCGACCCACGACGAATATCGATTTCGAACGTGTATCTTTCCCGACGATACAACGCATTACGTCTACGTTCCGCGTAAATCGTTTTCCACCGGTTACACATAAAAACTGCGTATCTGCGCTCGCACGAATCAGTCGTATATCACTTTTCTCGCAATGAAGAAGACGGCAGCGGCGGAGGAGAGCAAAAAATCGAACAGAGCGACGAAAATCGCTAGACATTCAATCGGAAGAAGAAACGCCTGTCTTCTCGAGGCAGTGAGTCATCTCAATAAAAATCAACGCTCAGCCTTTCTCCGCACAGCAGACAAAAAATTCATTGACTGCATTTGCGAGTGCATTTTCAATACGCTCAACGGTAACGTGCCGCTGGAGTGACGTGAAAAGAATCGCTTAAGCAAGTACAAAACGACGCTACGGCGTATCGCGGCGTCGGGGAAACGTGGTGATTGGAAGAAAAAAAGAAAACTTTTAGTACAACGAGGCGGCTTTTTATCTTACGTTATAGGCCCCTTATTATCGCTTTTATTATCGCGAATTATCGAAAAATAAACAGCCGACATTATGGAAAGAGCCAAAAAGATGGTTTTAATTTCCACGGAAAATCTCGAAAGAATGCGACAGCAACAACCAACAACAATTAACGCGGATACAAAAGAAAACGTCGCAAATTCGAACAACACCGACGAAAGCGAGGAGAATATGAGTGTGCGAACACCGGGAACCGCTCTCACGCGACTCGATGCGGAGATGTGCCGTATTCTTAATGCCCCTTTACCGCGCAGCGAAGAAGAGAGATGGAAATTGTATAGAGAAGTACTTCGGCGATATCTGCACTTTTTTCAAGCAGCGCGAAGACAAAGACGCGGTGAGACGCGCACAGAGGGGGAGAATGAGGACAACGAAGAGACGACGCTCGACGAAGATTTTCACGATCTCACGCCTGGCAAATCGCCGCACTCTAACAGCATCGCAGATATAAATGACACGAGAGAGTATATTCGCGCGACGAAAAGCCGCGAAAAGTTGCTGGAAAGCGTGCCGAAAACTTATCGCGCACGTGCAGGCTTGCTGATAAGACATTTGTTCGAGACAGCGGTGCCCGCTAGAATTAGTTGGAACGAGCATGGTGTCGTCACTATAGACGGCGAAGAGCTGAAAGATTCGAATATCACAGAACTGATAAATGACGCGATGCGCGAAAGAAAATCGGTGAAAGCAACAGGAAGAGCTCAGTTCGCACGATTACTCCGTGACTTGAATACCCGTTCTGTAATGATAGGAAATAAAGAATTATTAGCAGAGATTGCTGATTCT